GGCTAGCGGTCTGTAGGCAGCCAATTGTTACAAAGGCCTGCAGCCCACAAATACACTTACCACGGTTAGGAGACAGGCCAGAGAGGAAAGAAAGAACAAAAACAATACCAACAAACCCATTCAGCTCTGACAGAGAGCTGAACTGGGACACCGTGGTGACCAGAGATGAGACAGGACACAGGACAGGAACACGGAGACACGTGGCATGGTGTAATGGCATCTGTGCTGTTCTGCACCTAAACAGGGTCAGGCCAGGGACAGGGTCACCAGACACTTCCAGTCCCAGGCACTGGACTGACAGATTCAGTAACCTATCAGCCAAGTGCCCGCCCAGGTCTGCAGGGCTCCAGGCACGCCCATCACCTGGGAGGTGGGGGCTTCAACTTCTCCCACTGTGAAATCAGAAACAACAAAATGATTGGTGATTAAAAATGGGGCCAAATATAGGCAGATCCCCTCTGTAGAGAGAAGATCCAGGTCAGATGGCTAGCAGTCAGCCTGAGCCTTTTTCACCCTTGCTAAAAAGCAGAACATCTCTCCCTCACTCAAGTGTACTGGGCTGGCAGCGTTGAGGTTTACCACAAACTTTGCTGAAGGTCACTGACAACCTTGAGTCTTATCATCAGCTGTACTAAGTTGTTGTATTAGTCAGGAGCTTATAATAGTCTATTAGTCTACCCCTACCCAAGGTTTTGTTTTGACTTTTGTAATCTAAGGAAATGTTTTGACTTTTTGTACACAAGTTTCAATAGTATCAATATATTGGTCATGCAGACCCTCTCAAGACAACGTATTGTGCTTCTATTTCTGCAACTTGTGAGAATCTGCTTGCTTGCCTTGACAACCCCTCTCCCACCCTCAGTGTGGCTTTTTTCCTTTAAAAGACCCTCGTGGGAAAAAGACCTCACTACGTCCTACTATCCAAACAGTGGGAGTAGTTGTTGAGCGGCTAATAAAGACTCCCAGCCTAATTGACCAAGTGCTGGTGACTCCTTTTGCCGACTGTGGGTTCGAGTCCCACCAGCCCCTGGAAGTTGGGATATTTCACCACCGTGAAGACAAGATGCCAGATCCTACCACCTACCCTGTGCCCAAGATGGAGGGGGCCAGACCCATTCTCCCTACTTCTCAGGCTCCATGCTCTGCCCAGCATGCAGCAGTCCCTGCGTGTCGGCGCAGTACCCAGGGGCATGGGGGGGGGGGCGGGGCTGTGAATACTCCTAGCCACAGGGCCCTGCACTAACTAGTGCTGGTATGGCCGAGGACTCCTCTCTTTCCACGTCCTCATTTTCCGCTCCTCAGCGTGTCCCATAGGAGCATAGTCATGTGAGTGGGTGTTTGTGGGATGGATGACTGGTAGACATTTTTGGCTGTTCTAAATCCCTTAATATTTCTTCCAACTTCCACTTCTGTCTTGAGGGCTTCAGAAAGGAAGTACAATCAGTGGTCAGGACTGCCCTCGGGCAGATTGGGATGGGACTCCATCTCCCAATCCTTTGAAATTTGTGGGATGGGCACCGCTGCCCTGGCTTCATCAGGAAGTTCCAGTTTCCTCTCCCTGCCCCTCCCTTTTTAAACCCACGATTCCTTTCACTAAGATTAAATCCTAACATTCTTTTGATTAGTACTCTCTTGCTTAAATTCAATCATGGGAATATCCACCCTGGACACAGAACTATATATATTTGGTGCTGGTACTGGGACTTGAACTCAGAGCCTGGGTACCTTCATTTAGCTTTTTTTCCTTCAAGTTTAACACTCCACCCTCTGAATCAGGCCTTCATTTCCAGTTTTTTCCTGGTCAATTGGAGATGAAAGTCTCACACACTTTCCTGCCTGGGTTGGCTTCAAACCCTGATCCTCAAATCTCAGCCTCCTGAGATTACAGACGTGAGCTACTAGCATCGGCTTGCAAGTATAACTTTTAATTAAAGCAATGTGGTCTGTCCCAAGCCCTTGTGGTGGTAGAGGTCAATGTCTTTAGAGTTGAAATACCTAGCTAGGGGCAGGGGCAGAGTGAACACACTGAGTCTGGGTGAATCTTACAACAATAAGCAGGTTCATTCATTGAGTAGCTTTTGATATCATGATTCTCAAATACTAGTGTTTATGTCATCCCAGCAGGAACACATGTTTTGGGGGAGAATGTGAAGACCCTTATGGAGCAACACTTACGGGGCAACACTTGCAGACAGATATGCATGATCGAGAGGTAAGATAAAAGCATAGCCCGGCTGAGATATGCAGGTTGCAGTTCCAAGTCAGCCTAGGCAGCCACATCAAATGACTTTTTACCAGAAATTCACTGACAAAAAGCCAGAAGTAAAGTGGTAGAGTACCAGCCTTGAGAAAAAAAAGCCAAAGGAGAGTGCAAGGCTCTGCGTTCTAGCCCCAGCTCCAGGACAAACAAACAACAGAAAGAAGTAATGAAGGGTATTGTTGAGAATCTCTGTGTGTATGGGAGGAAGGGGACCCCACTGGGACCCGTTCCCCTTGGGGTTGAGGTTGAGTCGGATTAGTGAGAATGAGTAGAGGGTGAATCTTCTGGCCTCTAAGCAGGTCTGTACGCTACCAAACTGAAAGTGATCTTCCAGGGCAAAGGTCTCCCTGTGTGGGAGGTTACTCATGCCTCAGATGAATGTGTCTCAATAAAAGCATCTCAGAACCCAGGGTCATAAATGAACAAGCTGTTATAGTTTGCTGCCAATGTTTGGTTTTTTTAGAGCTAGAAACATACTATCTAGCCGGTGCTGGTGGCTCACACCTAGCTATGTAGGAGGCTGAGATCTGAGGATCACAGTTTTCAAAGCCAGCCGGGGGGAAACCAAATCTGAGAGACTCCAAGCTCCAATTAACTAGCCAAAGCTGAAAGTAGAGGTGTGACTCAAGCGGTAGAGCGCTAACCTTGGGTGAAAAGTGCCAAGAGCTTGAGGCCCTGAGTTCAAGCCGGATTTCTGAATACCAATCTCTATAACTCTTCTCTGGGTGATTACCCACCACCAACAGCTATCCACCAAGTCTCACTCTTCTGGCCTTGTCTGGGCAGTCTTGTTTACTTTAACCACTTCACCAGTTCACCATGATGTCTATGGTTGTCAGATGCACCATTAATTGAGGGAGGGACAGAAGCAGAGAAGAGCCCCTTGTCACATTCAGCCCACACCTTCTGTCAATACCCACAAGTACCTGGCAGCTAGAGAACTGCCATTTTTGAGCCTCAGCACTCTGGCAGCCTTTCTGAAGACCCCTCCCTGGATGGACCTCTCCCGGCGTCTGTCATGGCTGACTTTGTCCCCACCACCACACCTTCCACGTCACCGTGCCCAGACTGAATCACCCAAAGGGCACAGGACCTGCCCCGTGACTCACTGTTGTAGTGTCGGTGCCTGGCGTTCATTCTCTGTAGATTCATAGCCAGGGCCTAGTATGCACTGGGAATGTGCCCAGACTTGCATTCATTTGTTAAAAAGCATTTCTAGCAAAAATCTCTGCAGCCACCTGGGGAAACAGGGTGGAGATGCGTCCGTCTCAGAGCCCTTACATTACTAGACAGAGATGGCGCAGGGGCAAGCTGTACTAAGCTGCACCCGACCAAGCACCAAAGTGTGTGGTCCAGACTCTTCTACACATCCTCAGTCAGTCCAGTGCTGGTGGCTCAGGAGACTGAGATATGAGGATCCTGGTTTGAAGCCAACTGGGGCAGAAAATGGTTGAGAGTCTTAATCTGTTAACTACCAAAAAACCCATTTCTTTAACGATAGATTTGGAATTGTAGCTCAGGCAGTAAAGCTCAAGGTTCTATTAATAAATTAAAAATGTAAACTTATCCAGGCGCAGGTGGCTCATGCCTGTAATCCTGGCTACTCAGAAGGCTGAGATCTGAGGACAGCGGTTCAAAGCCAGCCTGGTTAGAAATTTTCTTTTGGGGGGGTGGTCTGGTCGTGGAGCCTAAACTCTGGGCCTGGGCACTGTCCCTCAGCTCTTCAGCTCAAGGCTAGCACTCTACCACTTGAGCCACAGCGCCACTTCCGGCTTTTTTCTTTTTGCTTATGTGGTACTGAGGAATCGAATCCAGGGCCTCAGGCATGCAAGGAAAGCGCTCTACCACTGAGCCATCTTCCCAGCCCTTGTGAGACTCTTATCTCTGAATAACTACCCCAAACCCGGAATGGCACTGTGGTTCAAAGCGGTGGAGCGTTAGCTTTGAGTGAAGCAGCTCAGGGACAGCGCCCAGTCCCTGAATTCAAGCCCCACCACCGGCTCACACACGAGAGTGCAAACCGTGTGCAGGGCCACAGCTGTGTGCTGTGTCTATGTGTGTATAGCTGTGTGATCAGCACCCCAGCACCCTACAGAGGGCGAAGGTGGGACACAAGGGCATCCCACCCAGCCTGCAGACGCCTGGGTCCCCCGCGACGGGGTTGGGGGACAGCAGAGGCCCGGGGGTCCCGCCGCGGGAGACCCACGCGGTGGAATTTCCAGGCCCAACTTTTAAAGGTCGGCGGAAAGTTTTCCGGTGGGCGGGGCAGGGGGGGGTGGGCTCCGCGGCTTCGCCTCCCCTTTAAGCAGACTCTGGCTCCGCCCCCGTTACCTGGGGGGGCGGGGCCGGCGGGGGCGGGGCCGGGGAAGTTTGTGTTTGCGGCCGGCGGCGCGCGGGGCGGCGGCGCGGGCGGGTGCGCGGGGCGGGCGGGCGCGCGGACGGGCGCGCGGGCGGGCGAGCGCCGCGGTGCTGCCCGGCGCTTCGGTAGCGGCGCGGGGCGTCCGGAGCGGCGGGCTCCGGGGCTCCCGGCTGGCGGGTGGCGGGCGGCGGGAGGGGCGGCCGCTGCCCGGGGCTTCCTGGCCGGCGGGGAGCGCGGGGCGGGCGCGTGGCCGGGCGGAGGGGCGCTGACTCTGGAGCTGGAGGCGGCGGCGGCGGCGGCGGGGGAGGCCGGCGGGGAGGAGGCCGGCGAGGAGGAGGCGGAGGCCGGCCCGGAGGACGGCGGGGAGGAGGCGGAGGCCGGGCGGCGGCGCTCCCGCCCCGCGAGCATGGGGCGTCCGGCGCCGAGGCCGCTGCTGCTGGCGCTCCTGTGGCTGGGTGAGTGCGCGCGGGCCCGGGGCTGGGGGGACCCGGGGGGATCGGGGGCGCGGCCCGGGGCTGGGGGAACCCGGGGGGATCGGGGGCGCGGCCCGGGGCTGGGGGGACCCGGGGGGACCGGGGGGCGCGGCCCGGGGCCGGGGGGACCCGGGGGGACCGGGGGGCGCGGCCCGGGGCCGGGGGGACCCGGGGGGACCGGGGGTGCGGCCCGAGGAGCGTCGGGGGGCGCGGCCGGGAAGCTGGGGGTACCGGGGGGCGCGGCCGGGGAGGGGCGGCGGGCGGCCCCGGAGACCGATGGACCCGGCCGGCAGGGGCGCCCGGACCCCTGGGCGCCCCGGGTGGCGGTGCTGCCCGGCCGGGCCTGGGCCTCGCACGTGCCGGGGCCCCGCGCCCCGCGCCGCCGTCGCGCCCTACCTGTTGGCCCGCGGGCGCCGGGCTGCCTTCGAACCCGCGCCCCCTCCCCGTCCAACTTCCCCGGACGAAGGTCACGCGCGGCCCCGGGCGCCGCGCCCGCGCACAAAGGCCGGGGCCCGGCCGCGCCAACTTTCTCTACCTGTCCCCGCTCGGGCCTCCGCACCCCAGGAGCCTTCTGGATGCGCGCCCCGCGCCGCGTGCCGGGGCCCGGGCAGTGGGGGCCCGGGGATCGGGGGCCGGGGAGGGGGGAGCCGGTCCCGCGCCCGCACGGGGCAGCCGGGGTCCGCCGCCGCCCCGGGTCCCCGGGCTCCCAGCAGCCCCTCCCCCCGCCCCCGGGAAGGCCTGGAGCCTTCCACCCGCCCTCCCGCATCCCCCCCCCCCCCCCCACCCCGGGCGCGGGTGGGGACACGGAGGCCGGCCGCCCAGCCTGCTGGCGGTCACTTGCGGGGAGGACTCCCCGAAAGTGCTCTGTCCACAAAACACCACCAGTTTCTGGAGAGCGGGTGGGGGAGGAGAGGGTGAGCTGGGGGGGGGGGTTGGGAGGGGGCAGGCCCAGCCTGGAGGGTCGCCCGGACCCCACAAGTCCTGGGTTCCCCCCTCTGGTGCAACAAACAAAAAGACTCCCCAAACTGGGCGCCGGCGGCTCACCCCTGTCATCCTAGCTACGCAGGAGGCTGGGGTCTGGGGATGGTGGTTCAAAGCGAGTCCCAGCAGACAAATCTGAGAGACTTCCAGTTAACCACCAAAGAAGCTGGAGGTGGAGGTATGGTCCCAGGATAGAGGCCTAGCTGAGCAGTCAAAGCCTGGGTAGAGCAGGTGGAGGTGTGGTCCCAGGATAGGGCCCTAGCTTAGAAGGTGAAAGCCCAGGAAGAGCAGGTGGAGGTGTGGTCACATGTTAGAGCCTAGCTGAGCACGTCAAAGCTAGGGTAGAGCAGAAGGGTCTTGAGTGCTAGTTCCAGCACTGTCAGGTGTGTGTGTGCATGCGTGTGTGCGAGTGCATGCGTGCACACACATACACAAAACAACAAAGAAGCTGGAAGATTCTGGTTCTGTGTGTCTACGAGGGGGAGGGGAACAGGAATTTTCTGAGTCACCTGCCAAGGATGGTATGAATGATAGGAGTAGCAGCCCCGGCTCTGTCCCCCGACTCTGTGCGCCCTGGGCCCTCTGCCTGTTTCTCTCTGCTCTGATTTGGAAGGCGGGGTCACAGGTGGTGTCCTACAGCTTCTGTTACCCCCAGCTTGGTCCCTCTCCTCTGTGGCTTCCCTGCACCCATGGCAGAGGAGCCCTGGTCCCAACCATCCCTTACACAAATCTTGTCTTGGGGGGCAGAGGTGGTGCTGGTGTGGAGCTTGAACTCAGGGCTTGTGCTTGCACTTGGCTTTTTCCCTCAAGGCTGGCACTCCACCCCTTGAACTATATACCTCCATGTCTGCCTTTTTGCTGGTTAATTGGAGAGAAGAGGCTCAAGGACTTTTCTACCTAGGCTGGCTTTGAATAGCTAGGATTACAGGAGTGAACCCAGCCCAGCCCTCGAAGGCCATTCTAGAATCCCCACAGAGTCCACAAAAGTTACTGGGAATCCCAGGCAAAAGCCTGCCAGACACAAACCAAGTGCAGGTAATGAGGAGGAGGGGCCGAGGGCAAGGAGGAGGATTCATTTGGACTTGGGGCCAGGGCTCCTTCTGTGGAAGAGATGACATTGGAGCTGAGCCTCAAGAATCACTAGAAATTGGAGAGGAGGGGTGTGGGGAGGGGCGCTGTGGGGATCCACCTAGAATGTGGCTCAGAAATGGCCCTGGGGCCCATGGATGATGGGAGGAGGACAATGGGGAGCACCTGCAGGGGCTTGGGCACATCGTGGAGGCTTTGTGCCAGGTGTGGGCTCTGTTGGATCTTTGGGAGAGCCTGTTTCCTGCCCTGGACACGAGAGCCCCGGAGCTGGGCCACTTGGCCTCCATCGCTGTTTTAGTCGATGACTAGTAGGTTTGAAACACACAGTGGGTATCTGATAAGCTTTGGCTGACTTAAATTCATATACATTATCGTCACGTCCTTTGGAGTTGTCTTGCGCCTGTCCTAGGGCTTTAACTCAGGGTCTGGGTGCAGTTACAATGCTTCGCTTCTGGCTTTCTGGTGGTTAATTGGAGATTCGAGTCCCATGACTTTCCCACCCCTGCTGGCTCTGAACTGTGATCCTCCTGTCTCAGCTTCCTGAGTAACTGGGGAGCTGCTGGTTCCAGGCTGTTAGGGGCCCCCCGCTGTCAGGCTGTCAGATCCTTTCCACTGTGGGAAATGGGTGGGGTGGGGTTAACGTGGCAGGCTGGAGGGTGTGTCTGAGGGAGGAGGTTGTGTGTCTGAGGGAGGCTGGAAGGCCTGGAGAGGTTGTGGAGAAGGATTTACATATTCTCTTTATCTCTTTAATTTTTTTTTTTTTGAAATCCATTGAAATCATTTTTAAGTGACAAAAGCATTCCCTGCGCATTTTAAAATTCAAATGCTACGGAAGGGTATTACATTAATGAGGTAGGCTGAGCGGAGCTAACAAGTAAGACTCAATAGTGGTTGCTACAATGTGCCTTTGAGAAAGGGTGCCTGGGGGTCTGTCCTCCAGCCCCAGATCTTGGGGGACAGCTAGCACTCTGGCAGTGTGAAAGGATATAAGAGAGAAAAAAAAATAAAAAAACAAGGCCCTGTTCCTTTAGAGGTGGCATTCAGAGCCTTGTGCATGCTAGGCAAGGGCTCTGCCATCAGGCCATACCCCTGTCACTATTCTTAGTCGTCAGAACTCCCCCTCCTTCCTCTCCCCATTTCCCTCCCCCTCTTCTCACTCCCTCTGCTTCTCTCTCTGCTCCTCCTCCTCCTTCCCTTTCTTCCCCCCCCCCCCTCTTCTCCCATCCAGGGGCTTAAACTCAGGGGCCTCATAGCCTCTGCTTAATTGCTCAGGACTGCCCCTCTACCACTTGATCTATGCCCCCAGCCTGGCTTTTTGCTGATTAATTGGGCTTTTCAATCCAGGCTAGCTTTGGCCTTGTATCCTCTGGATCTCAGCCTCCTGAGTAGCTAGGATTACAGGCCTGAGTGACGGGCACCCGCTCCTCCTTATACCTTGTAGGCACAGAGTACCTGTAGCACCAAATGCCAGGCTCTTAATGTGCTTTCTGTCCCCTGTCCGTCCTCACACACCTGTCACTGACCTGTCATCTGGCACTGGCATTTTCTCCTTATCGATGAGGAAACCGATGTCCAGGAAGTCTAAGTAACTTTGTCTAATCTACCGATCTTTGTGGCAGGGCTGGGATTTGATCTCAGGACTCCGAGAAGGAGAACATTGACCAATTGGCCGTCACTGTAATCTTGCGTTGGGTGGGTATTTGGCTGAAATCAGATTGCCATTTGCTAGCCAAAGTGTGCTTACAGACAGGAAGGAGCATCTGGGGGTGAAGTGGGCAGGCAGTGGTGGCAGCCCCAGAGATGCCCCAGCCCGCCACCCCAGGCCGGTCCCTATGCCTGCCTGAGGAGAGACGCAGGAGGCAGCCTCAGGAGGAGGAGGCAGCCTCAGGAGGAGGCCTGCGGGAGGAATCCCAGGAACCGGCCAGCAGCTTCGGCAGTCTTTGAAGCATGGAGGCCTTCAGAGATTTCTTGGCACTCATTTTAGCCTTGTTAACAGAATTCCTGTATCTGCCAAGCTGATTAATGCCTGCCCTGGCTCTAATTATTCTTATTAGCCTGCTGCCTAGAGCCCTGGTTGTGGGGATCACGGCTGACCAGGCGTCGGGCTGGGCGCATTTACGTGGGCATTCCGTTGTTGGGTGAATTGTCTAGCTGATCCTGCTCCCTCCCCATTGCATCTATGTGTTTATAGTGGGGTTACATCTGGCCATGGGAAATCAGGTGTGGGCTCTCTGGGGGGCATCTGCACCCCACATTATCCAGGGGGCAGGAGGGTGCTCAGGTACCCGTGGCCGTTCCGTTTAACTGCATTGGTTTGCTAGAGACAGCTGCGAAGCCATCCGACTTTGCTTGGGAAAATAATGCAGCGGCAAAAATTCTCCATAGTTTATCTTGTGGAAAAGGCGAATACTGCCGTTGGCAGAGTCAGTGGGTTTTTTTGTCTCAATATTTGTCTCCATACTAAGTGTCGTGTGCATGTGCGTGCGTGTGCGTGTGTGTATGTGTGTGTGTGTGTGTGTGTGTGTGTGTGTGCATGCACCTGTACTGGAGCTTGAACTTGGCCTGGCAATACTCCTTTAGCTTTTTCCACTGACGCTGTACCATGTGAGCCACACCTCCACTTCTGGCTTTTTGCTGGTTCATTGGAGACAGGAGTCTTGGGAATTTGTCCAGGCTGACTTCATACCTCGGTCCTCAGAGCTCAGCCTGAATGGTGGGGTGATCCATTCGTGTGAGCCATCAGTGGCTGTTCTTTCTCCCTTTTATGTAGAATTTATTTTGTGCTTTTAGGGTGACTCATTTTCCAGGCTTTACAACCCTGTGAGGGAGCTTCTCGCTCACTTGACAAGTGAGGAAACTGAGGCAAGGTAAACTCACAGAAGGCAACAGTGTAAGTGTTAGGGATTCAAACC